GTATTAAAAACAATTTTACTTCTTGAAATGTGCCTCGTGTTTACAGTGACTGTGAAATGGCTTCTTTTCAATCAAATAAAAAGGAATTCTCCTATTGGTTCTCGTTTACGCGCGCTGTATTTATCAAGTTTAGCAAGATCTTTCAGCCTTTTTTTTACGATAAAAGTTGGGTCATATGATAAAATGCTTATTGACTGAGTTGGGTCGGGCCGGACGGGAAAATATTTGGCTCTTGGTCATTTGTACGGACCTTGCTGCGCTCGGTCCGTACGACATGACCTCGAGCCAAATATTTTCCCGTACAGCCCTCCCACTCAGTCAATAAGTACATAAAATTTTGGCCCTTTTCTTTCGAATATCAGAAAGATATTCCAGTGGGTGGTTCTTAATGTATTCAAGATTATTTCAGCAAAGTTCCAGCTCGAATGAAAGAGTTTTAATTTTGGAGCGATTTTCGTCCATGCAAGTGGCCCTTTAATTTTTGATTTTTTTTTTTTTTTCCCTTCTTTTTTTCTTTTTTTCTTTTTTTCTTTTTTTCTTTTTTTCTTTTTATATTTCACTTATAATAAGTATTTAATGATCATTTATTATACCGAAGGACGAAGGAATTGAGATGGACATATGGTCAGTGGATTTGGATGGCAAAGTATCTCGGCTTTCAGTGAACAGTGGTATTAATTCCCCAAGGCCACCACGACCCCACACACCAATGACGAAAAACCGAGTACATCCAGCCACGCCTGAAATGCTGCAAGACGACAACTCTCGACGTGAGGGAGTATACACTACTCAACCTGCCACAGGCATCCCAACAGAATACGCCCATGTGCTTGAGAGAAGTGGAACTCGGGATCGATTGTATGCAGAACTTGCATGGCTTGAGAAAAAAGGAAGGCCGAAGCGCAGGACGCGGCTACCGAGCATCTCAGGTAGTTCTGCCATTCAGCACCGGAAGTATAGTATCCTCGAGATTCTTCAGAAACAGCAACAGGAAGTGGAAAACTCAAAGGAAACAAACGAAAATGAACCTGAAAGCGAAATGGAATATTAGTATTGTTTTATGCATATATTGGATAAGCAGCGGACATAATTATCGTCCTTCCTCTTCCTCCTTTCTATTAGCTAGCCATTCCGGAGTTGTAGTAAATCCTGGACCAAGGTTGCTTTGCTTTGCTTGCATATCAAAGGACTGTTTAAGGGGACGTTCTCTGAAAATGGCGTCTATAGGCCACTTCACGCATCCCGTTACTCAACCTCAGCCTCGTCAGCGTGTAATTATTCTTTAGAATTTGACTACAGTCCGCAGTAATGAAAGGAATTTACACATCAACGAACAATTGAAACACTTAAAATTTCACAGGTTGTAGGCAATTTCTAAAGAATATATTACACGCTGACGTGGCTGAGGGTGAGCCGCGGGATCTGTGAAAAGGTCTATTGTGTGCCCTAAAACAATCCCAAAACTCACTGTGAAAATCCAATTCGACCGAGTATTTTACTCAACCTCGGAAATGCAAATGTCATTTTATAACTAGTTTGTTTAAGCCAAAGTTATGAGTTATTAATAGCAGAGGAAGCTACACTCTAAACCATGTATAATAGAGTGATGTTGAAACAATTTACTTTATTTTTCAAGTGTTATTAGTTCATCCTTGTGTGAGAAATTATTTATAGCCTTAAAAATTGCTTTAAATTAATAAACAAAAAACTAATTAACGACGCGACTTAATTCGAAGGTCTTTATTGACAGCTCCATGGTCGGCAAGTGAGGAAAATAATTCACTGGTCATATTACATTGAATTGCTGGCTCTGAAAATTGAGCTGGTTCTGTTCATGCGCGAGCATCCAATATATATTGGACTTTCTTTTCTCCGTGACCTGAGCCTGTGGAAGCTGACCGAAAGGGAGTCTGGGACTGGAGTATGCCATAGTACAATATTCTTCTGCGGATTTTCTAACATACTCTAACATCCCACATGGAAAGGAGTGAGAATGCATTCAAATGCCCCAGAGTCACAAACAATATTTTCGAGTTTGCTGGTCATAGCAAGGGGTTAATCATCTACGGTCTAGGGGCCGACTAACCTCTCCCTTAGGCTTCGGCCGAGCTTCCTGATCAGTCTGTAAATCTTCGGATAGCGGTGTCGGGGTCGAGATCTCCGGCGTAGCCGTAAATGCTTCACGCTGCCATACGACGGTTCAGCACTCGATGTCTGGAAGTATGGTCCTTTTTAATGAATCAAAAAGTAAAAATCCCAAAATCATCTTTCCATAAAAGATTTAAAAATAGATAACATTTACTACGGTGCACGTTCCGCTTAGTTTTACTAAACGCATCCCACATGGAAAGGAGTGAGTATGAGTTTAAAGCCATTAAGAGTAAATATTTTTCGCAATGATTATTTGCGATACCAGAATTTGCTGTTTTTCGTTTTTTCTTTTCATGTACCATATATATATATGTATAGATTGCCCACGGACTCTATGACCTGGAAAAAAATTATCGCATTAAAAGGCAATAACTTAATCAGAAAACGAAAAACCATTAACAAAAAAAAAAACAAAAACAAAAAAAAAAAAAAAAAAAAAAAAAAAAAAAAAAAAAACCAAAACAAAAAAAACAAAGAACAAAAAAAAATGTCGGTAGGTTTGATAATAACATATTCTTTAAGTGTCAAAGAAGGGACGTATCTATTTATCTAATGTCTATTGTTACGATTAACAACAAAAAGCATCAAGATTTAATTAAAGCAAGCAATGTGATTAAATATGCAGCATAACATAATAATTGCAATCATCATCAAGTAAGATATTGCCGAATAACTATATGTAAAAAAGGACATAGAAAAACGCCGTTCAAATGCTTGGCATTCATGATCACTCTCTCTC